CCGGAACTCCAGAAAAATGTTGCCCGAATATGGGTGGGAAAAATAAAGGAAACAAAGTTTCCTCGGGAAAAGAAACAGGAACAGTAATTCCCAATTAGATCAGGTGGACAACCATACCTACACCCCGGCAGTCAACCACACCTGAGTCACCAACAACATGCCCCAGGCCCAGGATTAGCTAATGTATGGCGTCTCGACCAAAAGAATGAGGATGTCGTGCCTAATAAGCCGAATCGTCCAGTTTGGCCTCTTTGGAATGGGTGCACTTTGTCGAATAAGCCAAAACTATTATATTCAAAACCAAGCGCTAAACCCACTAGGGTCATGCAGCTCTGCAAGCCAAATGAAAATTTGTTTTTGCCATAAATCAACGAAAACTGACTGACCTGAGCATAATGAATATTATATATATATTATATTATATATATATATATATATATATATATATATATATATATATATATATATATATATATATATATATATATATATATATTCACTAATTTTTCAGGAATAGTAAATAAAGTTAAATTAATCTTTGATATACATAGCAGAATTTAGCTAAAAAAATTGCGTTAATTTATGGGAGGTTAGGTGAGGTTTCTATGTTAGTTTTGGTTCAAAATAAAATCTTTATATCACTGTTAATGAAAAAAAAAAGATATCTGCAAAAAACATTTTTGGAAAAGTTTAATTTTTAAGGGAGTTCGGCCTATTTGGCAAGTTCGGCTTATTTAGTACAAGAAAAAATGTGATCGGGAGAGGGGGAAAACTGGGAACCTTGTCAGTGATATTTAATGCATCAAGAAAAAACGAAGTTATTATATTTTTTATTACATCTTGCACTTCCCAGATGCCTCAGCCGATTGTTGTCCGTAGCAGGAAGCGACCCTCGATTGACGCTCGTTGTGGCTGACGGCCTTCTTGAAGGTCTGAGAGAGGTCAGCGCCTTGGTCAGCCTCTATGGCATGAAGGTCGGTTGTAAAATGTTACTTGGATCTTGCTAATGTTACCTTTAATTAGGTCAATCTTCATATCTGCTAAAGGTAAACTGCTGGTTAAAGCCAACAGGAAAGTGAAACCATGTTGTATTTTGACAGTTATTCTCCTCAGCTGACCTTAACTTAACCCTTCACTATCCCAGTAGTTCGTGGGTCACGATGCTGGTGGCACCAACGTGACCTTGCGCATCACCCGCCATTATAAGGTCGCCCTTGACGCCGGCTTCACCACCTTCCCCAGTGCCGACAAGATCATCATCCTGGAGGAGGACCTTTACGTCGCCGTTGATTTCTACAGGTGACGTGACTGGAGGGTCGAGGGCGCCGACGTGTTCAAGCGTGGATTCCCATGTTCTGTATCTAAATAGCATTTCTCTTCATCTACAGTTGGACTGCACGTTTATCTGGAATATTCGTTTAAAAGTTAGACTAGAAATTAGACGAAGTTCTTGAAATTCTACTTTTAAGTTCGTATGGCAGTTCATCTAATAGTAAAGATTTCTATTACGTTTTAATTTTACATTGTTTAAATGAAGCGCTAAATCCGTGTAGGTTATTCAGCGCTGAGTGGTCTCTAACTTCCGTTGCTGCGCTGTATAACCGTTGTAGGTTTAGCGCTTCGTTTTGATTATAATTATCTAACTTCCGTTAGCTGGGTGCAACCTACTTGTATTTACATATTTATCTTACGCATCTTCTAATTTCAGTAACAGCATTACGTAGCCTTTTACGTTGTACCATAAACCGCATGTGCTTCAACTTTTCTGTATTTACTTTTTATATGTACTAGTCTCTATCGTTGTACCAGTTACTTTACCCAGACGGCTCCGCTCATGGACCAAGACTCTACCCTCTTCTGTGTCTCCGCTGGAACGACATGAGTCGGGTAGACGGTGGCGGAGACCCGAGCGTGGTGATGCGCTCAGACACTATGGCAGGTCTTGGCTGGCTCCTCACCAGGAAAATATATGAAGTTATTATGCCCAACTGGCCGGCGTATGACAAGGTATGTGACGGCAAGCAGCTTGGACAAGAAAATGGTGATGAGTGTATCACAGACAGGATAGAAAAATATGCCGCAATACTGTGGCTGGAACAGATTTTGACTGATTTACAAATTGTAAATGAAACTGGGTGATTTTTCTTTTCATTCTGCATTATAATAATGTTTCGATTAACTTGATAATGGCTCCACTTGTGTGGGGATGTGCACCTAGGCCTTTATAAAGTGATAGAATATTCATCTCTCCTCAAGGGTGTTACAACATAACGGAGGACAGTTTTCATTTCAAGTTTGTAGATTAATTGTAGAATGACAGTAGGTTATGACTGAGGCTGTGACAGGGCGAAGCCTACATTACCGAGTAGCTTACGACTAGTTCAGTATATTGAAATATTAATTTCTTGAGGTCTGATAAGAATGCTGAAAATGATAAATTGAACTGATAACTTCAATGACATTTGTGAGAGTATGAAAATCTGGGTTTATATGACTAGAACCCCAGGCTCACTCTCCAAATGGTGTATCTATCCAGCCCACCTTAAAAGGATGCACTGATGCTGGAGGGGCTTCTCATTTGGGGAACCGATGCAGTGCAGCTTTCCTTATTCTTAGATCAAACTTGATTGCTCCCCATTCTTTAAACGTAGCGAATTCCTCAGTTTAGTGGTTCCTCATGAATCTTGTAAAAGTCCTAACCAACCCATTACAGCAACCCTCTCCAGCGCCTCTTCTGCGCCCACAGTTCGCGGACTGGGACATGTGGCTAAGATTACCAGAGAACAAGAAAGGTCGAGAGTGTATCGTGCCGGAGGTGTCAAGGACCTTTCACTTCGGCTTGACCGGCGCTCATCTCACTGCATATTTCCAGGCCAACTACTACGATAACATAGCCTTCAACACCCGTCCTCATGTCACGCTCAAGGATTTACACAGGTGAGAAGAGCAATGTATGTCACCCCTCAAGAGTGTGTGTCGGTGTCCGCCTGTGTCTGTATTCACTAAATTCATCTCCGAGGTTTGATTTCAATATCTCTGGCCGACCACCTTGAATAGTCTTCCCGTCCATCCTAAAGGTTGGGTCTTGAAGCCTCTTAATATAGCTAATTAATGACGAAACATCACTTAATAGTTCTCCTTCCCTCCTCCTCCTCTTAGGTTTGGTCCCGACACCGACGATGCACTCCTGAAGGAGCTGGTGTGTGATACACTACCACTTGATAATTTTCCTCTCCTTCCCTCCTGAAGGTTACCCCTGAAGTCTAAGCTCTACTGATGGAGCCGATTAATGATAAAACACCACTTGATATTGTTTATGCTAAAATTAGCTCAAGTCATAAAGCGCAAAACCACTTTAGAGTTTTTTCCTTCTCTTGCCGTATGCAGGTTGGGTCCTGACGCCTACGACGCTCTTCTGAAGGAGTTGTTGACGGTAGGAACACATCTTGACGGCGCCGTCACTAATCCCTGCAGCAGGAATCTCCTTCCCCGCAATTCGGTATCTTTCCGTAGTGATCATTAATACTATCCTGCTTGCAATATAGGTCATGGTGTATAAATCTTGAAGAATGAGTTCTGATTATTATCAAAGACTTTCTATATACGATGGGACAAGGTAAAACTATCATATATTTCTATGGTGTTTTTTTATAGATAATTTATCTATAAATATTTTCTTAATTTTACTTTTCATCTATATTTAAGGCTTTTCTTTGGTTCCTTGTATATCTGACACAACATTGTTTACCACTTCCTCCTCCTCCTCCTCTCATCCCTTGACACCTCTCGACGTCCTTTTCTGACCTCTTCTAACTCCCTTTCACTCATTTGGCCTACGCTATTCTTAGATTTTTCACTTTGACCTACCCTGACCTTGAGTGTCTATATTGAAAGAAGCCTGAAGGAGTATTATAAATAGGCACACAAAAATATTCGCTTTACAAAATATGTCCAATTTTTTAAGGAAAAGTAGTTCAATTAAACTTAATATTAATTTAACGTACGTTGCGTGCGAGCGCGCGCGCCTATTACAATACGGCAGGAAATAGAAATAACATTCTATAGTAAAAAATCGTAACTCGCAATAACTAACACTTTCCTAACTAAATTTTTAACCTGAACTCAATTACTTAGCTTAAATCACGTGCGGCCTAAAAGGGAATATCCAGACGTAGGGTATTCCAAATACCCCATGGTTAATATGATATAGCTGGAACAACCTTTCAATTCATGCTCGAGTCAAACTGATCATTTATACTGGTAGTAGGCACCACATCACCTCTAATGATGCAAAGACCACTTATAACATATCAAAATACGTGTTATTTCCTTTAAAATGTGAATGTAAAATAAATAAGAGTAAGTAAATTCAAATACCCATAGCAATATTATGAACTCAACTTATTCCAACGTCATCACACAAATAACCCGCACTGTGGAAAATACTGTATATATTTTCCAGAAATACAGTAGTTATATGTAAATAGATGGCCATACTGTATTTAATAAAATTTATGTTATCAAAAATGGGAAACCCGGCGCCTGCGCAGACGACACTCGCCATGTTGTTTGTTTTGAATTGAGAGTAACAGACGTTAATTAATAATGTGAAGAATTTTTCGTGCTCTAGAGGTTAAAATTGGGCTGACACCTCTCAAATAGGAGGCGAAATTGTTGGATGTGCATTCCTGCATAACTTGAGATATCAGGCGACTGGACAAGACAGCTCCAGGAACCCCAGCTAAGTCATGTCTATATTGTTTATAGTTCTGGCCAGTATTATCATAAATGTAGACAGGGGGGGTTTTCTGAGTATAATACACCTTAATCTCCAGTCAAATTGGTGAGTGATTTTAAGATATTCTCCTTCTGTTATGTAAATTGTGTATATATATAATCCTTTATTAATTTTAATATACAGTCCACAACTATATATTTACCAGAATCCCTGGTGATGTATATTTCATTTGTAATTAATAGGTCAAGAGCAACTTGTGGATATGACAGTGGTAGGTATCGAAGGGGGACATTTTTTGCGACCTAAGTGTCCCAAATTCCTACTTGTCTAACTGATAAATAATAATTATTTTTGTTCATTTACTGTTATGTACATAATGATACATTCAGATAAATGTAATTTTCCACACGCACATAAGAGAGGAGCTTACGACTACGTTTCGGTCCAAATTGCACCATTTACAAAGTCACACGTCATATACAATATATATATATATATATATATATATATATATATATATATATATATATATATATATATATATATATATGCAACATATCTAGATAAAAAAAAATTTTCAACATCTAATACTATCTTTATTTTATAGGATGGATATCCTGGACATGAAGTCTGATCACAAGTCTTCCTCTTTCCCCTGATCTTCATTCCCTCTCGCTCACTGATCCCATGTATCTCTTCCTTACCCAGACTTCACATTTTCCATTTCACTTCTTTTGACATTTTTTCCTGACTTCTCTCACAGAGCACTCACCATATACTGTGGATGAAGATGAACGAACTTTACGATGACTACACCTTTAAGGGCGTAATGGGGGTAAGTCACTCTTGCTCAGTAGTCAAGAAGTCTGCGTTTATGACGAAACACCTGAATATTTAAGCGACAGTTGAATATATACATGTACCTGTGCGATTCTGATAATTTCACGATAACGTGAAAACTATGACAAAACCCTAATTAGCAAAGACTTTGAACAGTACCATTGCACCATTGTACGTGGTCTCTTCTGGTGGAATACGGCTTGATTTGACGTACAATTAGGCTACGATTTCAACACAGCAATTTGCTCCTAGATTAATGGAATGCTTCATAAAACAGTCAGGTCACACCCATAATTATGTCTTAATTAGACGTCAGTTGCACCTCTTGGTAACACCTCTCGCCTCTATTCATTCCAGCTGAAGAGACCATCTGATATAACACAATGATTCTGGCTCCAAGTCCATGTTAATGGTTGTTTTGCTAAGATATCAGTGTAAATATATAAGTGTGGACTAGGCAAGTGACTAAGGCGTCCCGTAGCTCGATTGCTGATGCACTCAGCTCACACACTGAGGTCCGGGGGTCGATCTCCGGTACGGGTGGAAGCATTAATACGCGTTTCCTTAAGACACCTGCTGTCCATGGTCACCTATCAGTAAAATAGGTACCTGGGCGTTAGTCGACTGGTGTGGGTCGCATCTTGGGGACAAAACTGACCTAATTTGCCCGAGATGTTCTGGATAACAAGGGGCTTTCTCTGTAATAGTGTATCACTGATGTCAGCTAGGCCTGTATACCTTGTAAATGTACATGTAGAAATAAAGATTATTATTGCTGTGGGTATCCCTGGTTTGTGTCAACAGTGTCTGCTGCTGTGGGATCTGGACGTGCGGGCACACCACAAGCTCCTCTGGCGGCTTCGTTGGCATGGTACCCCCCTCATCCTCGTAGGCTGGCCAGCCTCACCGTTCTCGTGAGTTGAACCCTTGTTTGTCTGCAGCAGATACTTATAGCCTAGCCTAGCCTAATCTAGCAGTAACAACGTCTCGCAATATACTGACCTTGTTACTTTCTCCACAGACATGTTAACTTGACATTTAATTAAAGTGGACAGCTGATCTGCTGTACTGTTCTACTTTTCTCGCATTTCCAGCCACCCTGGTATCACCCTTGATATCACCAGGCCTAGCCTGGGGGAGAGTTGACCCCGGGAGCATCCTCTAGCTATCCGTCATGTATGCCCATTTACCCTCCCAAGAAACTAATCATGCGTAATCCTCATCTTTAACCACTTTCTAAACTCAAATTCTCTGGAGCAAATACACTACCTGAAGAAAAAAATCTACTACGCTGATGATTAACCTGACAGTGAGAGGGCGGGAAGTCTTATCCAAACCAGTCAGATGTTACTATAATACAGAGTTGCATTAGAATTAAAAACTTTCCTCCCGATGTTAGGTATTTAAGTGTATTTAACTTGTGGTATACAGGTGTACGCGTGTAATCCACATTCTTTAAACCTAACCAACCAACTAGAACATGAAGGTATAATATAATACATAAGGTATACGGTAGTAAATGAGATATCAGATAAAATAGATCTCTTGTAAAGCAAGGCTGAGTGCTGGAAAAAGCTTCCTGAGTTTTAGCAGTTCCAATGTTATAATAAATGTTAAGTTTTTAAACAGATAAGAATAAGCCAGTACGTATTGTTATATCATCAGCCTAACTTGTATCAATTATTTCATTTAACTATACACTAGAAAATTGCGTACATGGCTCACAGAATGACAACATTCACCAGGCTGTTTGGTGTCTATCTCGTTCAGCGAGACAGATACCATTATACCATTAATCTGACAACTTTTTTGAGCGAATTTTCGCGTACAAAAGAAGTACGGTTTGACTCTCCTGCCCCATCTCCACCCTGACAATATTTCTTTGAGTACCCATGACGCAAGATTGTTTTGTATCAATTTATATATATAATATATATATATATAATATATATATAATATAATATATAAATATATATATATATATATATATATATATATATATATAATATATATATGATATATATATATAATCACTGATTTCAGGTTGCTGAAACCAAAGGAAGTGCGGGTGCTGCTCCGGTACGACCCAAGTCACAGTACCATACATCCCCCAGTGTACCAGTACTGGTCCACCAATATCAGTGCCACCAAAACCAGTTCATGATTCTTCCAGGTATTACCTCACTTCTCGGTGTGCTCGTGTCTTTTCCCAGGTACCGCCCCCAATCATCTCCATTGTACACTACCTCTCTTCAATCGCCTTTATTCAGAACCTGCCTCTAATTCCTCTCCCTATTACCTGTTTCCCTATACCTGCCTCCAAGTACCCATCCCCCAGTATCGCCAATAACAAGCCTCAACGAACACTACAAGAACCTTCCAGCAATACAAATATATTGTGGAAAAAAAAAGAAAATTATTTTCATTTAAACGCCTTTATGAGAAAATTGATCCTGGAGATAAGATTTACCAATTATCACAGCATATTAGTCGAGTAAAATTGATTAAGTTATATAATTACTTTGTAAATATTTAGTTTAGGGGATCCTCCGAGTTTCGTGAAAAATAAATGAAAATGCCCAAGAATTGTCAAAGCTTATACACGGTGACATATTACCAGCCATTCTGAAAAAATACCGACTTTGCCTATTGTAAATAATTTGTAATTACTTACACATGTTAAAATTCAACTATGCCTTGCTCAAATACAAGGCAATGTATATAATTCAAAAACATCTATAAACTTCACTAATATATTTTGTGACTGATTCACGTCACCATTATGTAGAGAATATAAACAGTACATTGCTACTGTAATTTGCTTAGCTATCAAAACTGAAGCCCAGTCCCTAGACTCCTTATGTGCCTGTGTAATATTCTGATTATCAACCCCAGGATGGGTATGGGGTGCATAAGATATTAAACATACCAATATGATTGGTTTGTGCACTGGGAAGTATTTTATTTTTTTAAAAACTGGATAAAACGTTTTTCGAGTATATGTTGGGTAGAGAATAAACAAAAAACTTTTTACTATTACAGCCAGCCTAACTTAATATAACCTAACCCTAAATAAATCTAACTAAACAAATTGTATTCCAGCATAACCTGACGAAACCCAACCCATTAATCACATTAGTACTCACATTACCTGTGCATTTCTAATTCACATTCATGTCTGGTCAAGCTGTGAATTATGTCGTAAAAGGTCAATTCACACACATTATACTGTACTCTTCTTGTTGCTGGTTCACTGACAGCTTATGCAGCATCGAGCCCTGTTTCCTGATATACTGAGAAGAAATATTGCCCGAAGCTGGGCCATGAAAGAAATGGGAATAGGAGTCACCTTGTAAACCAAATGGAAACTTGAAGTTTCCAAGTAGGCCAAGTGGACCTCTGTTGCCTAAGTCCCAGTAAAGTAGGACACCTACACCCTCAACTAAGTCCCAGTAGTGGGACACCTACACCCTCACCTAAGTCCCAGTAGAGCGGGACACCTACACCCTCACCCAAGTCCCAGTAGAGTGGGACACCTACACCCTCACCTAAGTCCCAGTAGTGGGACACCTACACCCTCGACTAAGTCCCAGTAGTGGGACACCTACACCCTCACCTGAGTCCCAGTAAAGTGGGACACCTACACCCTCACCTGAGTCCCAGTAGTGGGACACCTACACCCTCAACTAAGTCCCAGTAGTGGGACACCTACACCCTCGACTAAGTCCCAGTAGTGGGAACCTACACCCTCACCTGAGTCCCAGTAAAGTGGGACACCTACACCCTCACCTGAGTCCCAGTAGTGGGACACCTACATCCTCACCTGAGTCCCAGTAAAGTGGGAGACCTACATCCTCACCGGAGTCCCAGTAGAGTGGGAGACCTACATCCTCACCGGAGTCCCAGTAGAGTGGGAGACCTACATCCTCACCTGAGTCCCAGTAGAGTGGGAGACCTACACCCTCACCTGAGTCCCAGTAGAGTGGGAGACCTACACCCTCACCTGAGTCCCAGTAGAGTGGGAGACCTACACCCTCACCTGAGTCCCAGTAGAGTGGGAGACCTACACCCTCACCTGAGTCCCAGTAGAGTGGGAGACCTACACCCTCACCTGAGTCCCAGTAGAGTGGGAGACCTACACACTCACCTGAGTCCCAGTAGAGTGGGAGACCTACACACTCACCTGAGTCCCAGTAGAGTGGGAGACCTACACACTCACCTGAGTCCCAGTAGAGTGGGAGACCTACACCCTCACCTGAGTCCCAGTAGAGTGGGAGACCTACATCCTCACCCGAGTCCCAGTAGAGTGGGAGACCTACATCTTCACCAGAGTCCCAGTAGAGTGGGAGACCTACATCCTCACCTGAGTCCCAGTAGAGTGGGAGACCTACACCCTCACCTGAGTCCCAGTAGAGTGGGAGACCTACACCCTCACCTGAGTCCCAATAGTGGGAGACCTACATCCTCACCTGAGTCCCAATAGTGGGAGACCTACATCCTCACCTGAGTCCCAGTAGAGTGGGAGATCTACACCCTCACCTGAGTCCCAGTAGAGTGGGAGACCTACATCTTCACCGAGTCCCAGTAGAGTGGGAGACCTTCCTCACCGGAAAGTCCCAGTAGAGTGGGAACCTACACCCTCACCTGAGTCCAAAAATGGGAGACCTACAATTTCCCCTACCTGCAGTCCCAAGTGGGAGACCTACATCCTCACTGAGTCCCAATAGTGGGAGACTACATCCTCACTGAGTCCAATGTGGGAGGACCACATCCTCACTGAGTCATAGAGGGGACACCTACATACCTCACTGAGCCCCAAAAGTGGGAGACTACATCCTCACCTGAGTCCCATAGTGGAGACCTACATCCTCACCTGAGTCAATATGGAGACCAATCCTCACCTGAGTCCCAATAGTTTGGGTAGACTACATCTCACCCAGTCACATGTAGAGTGGGAGAACCTACACCTTCACCTGAGTCCAGTAAGAGTGGAGACCCTACACCCTCACCGAGTCCCAGTAAGTGTATCTACACCCTCACTGAGTCCCAGTAGAGTGGAGAGAACTACATCTTCACCCGATCCCATAGATGTGGGAGACCTACATCTCACAAAGAAGTCCACAGTAGATGGGAGACCATTACATCCCTCACCTAGTCAATAGTTTAAGTGTGAGACCTATACACCCTCACCTAAGTTCCCATAGTGGGAGACTACATCCTCACATGAGTCCCATTAATCAAGTGGGAGAACTACAATCCTCACCTGAGTCCATATAGTGGGAGACTTACATCATCACCGAGTCCAATAGTGGATGACCTACACATCACTGAGATCCTAATAGTGGGAGAATACATCCTCACCTGATCAATAGTGAGGAGACCTACACCCTCACCTGAGTCCCTTAACAGCCTTCCCACCAAAACCATTGAAGAAATATCCGCAGAACGGAAAAATGGAGCTGATGAATGGTGTCCCTCCTGCAAGGTGCCCAGCTGGCAGAATAACACGAGGATCAAAGTCCCAGAGAGAACGAGGGAAACTTGTCACTGATGTCCAGAGAAGAGCGAAACATCGCACACAGTAGGAAGGCTGGCGCGGTAGTCAATACATTACACTCAGGAGACATTACACAGGTGTTGGAATTATTGGAACTGTTTACTTCGCTAAATACTAGCCGCTGATTGGCTGAGCTCCCCTTCAACCGTATATTTCAACAAATACAGTAAACCTTCAATAAAAATAGTTTTTTAGCTAATATCTCACAAAAAAATGTACAAGAAATAACCAATTTTGTAATGTAAATATTAAATTAAAGGGTTAGCTCGATGGAGCTCCTAAACTCAATATTAGTTTATTATTTACACTGGTACATTAGGAACAACAAACACACAGTTTATTAGTGGATATTTTATTGATTTGGGAAAAAAAATTGATAAGACAGTAATATACAAAAAAGATAAGCAGCATAGAGTACACATTGATGTAATTGCTACTTTAATAAACAAAATAATGTATTTATAGTGTGTATTTTGCACTACATAATGACCCCTCATACATGTTATACAAAGCATTACTACATATACAATTCAAGGAATATTATTTTCTGATTAATCACGAGGGAGTGATTGAAGTATAAATATTAGTTTTATAAGTGAAACGTTTAATATATGGCGAGTCAGTCAGAAGTGACTACCATACAGCAGAGATCCTGGTTACAGGGAGATTGAGAGTAATTTCTGAATTGAAGGAGACGACAGTCTGTATACAGGCTAACCTAGCCGCATGTTGGCCAGCCTAGCCGCATGTTGGCCAGCCTAGCCGCATGTTGGCCAGCCTAGCCGCATGTTGGCCAACCTAGCCGCATGCTGGCCGACCTAGCCGCATGTTGGCCAGCCTAGCCGCATGTTGGCCAACCTAGCCGCATGTTGGCCAGCCTAGCAGCATATGGCCGGCCAATTTAACCGCATGCGGGAGGTATGACTGCGTTCGCTGCCGAGCAGTAGAAAGAGAGGGAGAAGGTAGTGGAGGAGTTGATGGATTGGGAGGTGACGGTGTAGGTGCTGGTGGTGGTGGTGACGAAAGTGATGGCCAACCCTCGACCTGAACTGTCTCCTCCCTCTTCCAGCTCTCCAATACTCTTTCCTTCACTCAGAGTGCCAGTCAACTCAGCCGAACTGTAATAACACAGATAAAAACCTGCTGAAGTCATTTATCATTTAGTTATTCTATGGAGCATCGTACAGCCTACCAGCAGCCCAGTTACAGCCCAGGGCTTCTTTACCGGAAAACATAAGAACATAAGAACATAAGAACGAAGGAACACTGCAGAAGGCCTACTGGCCCATGCGAGGCAGGTCCAAGTCCCTACCGGCTTAAGCCAATGCACCCAACCTAGTCAGGTCAGGTCACATTGACTTAAGGGAGGAACACGGCAACCGACCTGGTAGCACAAGCTATCAGGTCCAACTCACACCCACCCACATCTACTCATGTATTTATCCAACCTATTTTTAAAGCTACACAACGTTCTGGCCTCTATAACGGTACTGGGAGTTTGTTCCACTCATCCACAACTCTATTACCAAACCAGTACTTTCCTATATCCCTCCTGAATCTGAATTTTTCCAATTAAAACCATTGCTGCGAGTCCTGTCTAGGCTAGATATTTTCAGCACACTATTTACATCCCCTTTATTTATTCCTGTCTTCCACTTATAAACCTCAATCATATCCCCCCTAATTCTACGTCTTTCTAGAGATGCAGTTTCGGGGCCCCTTTAGTCTATCCTCATAGGGAAGGTTTCTGATACATGGGATCATCTTTGTCATCCTCCTTTGTACATTTTCCAGAGAAATTTTATATCCATTCTGTAATACGGTGACCAAAACTGTGCAGCATAATCTAAATGAGGCCTTTAAACCCAAAGGGTGTATAGAGTTGAAGAACAACCTGAGGATCCTATTATTTATGCTTCTTGATATGAAGCCAAGGATTCTATTTAGCTTTATTGCGAACACTTATGCACTGTTGTCTTGGTTTAAAATTATGCTTAACCAGAACTCCTAAATCTTTTTCGCAATCCGTAATATTAAAATCTACATTATTTAGTTTATATTTTGGGATGGTTATTGTCCTGTCCAACATTTAGAACTTTGCATTTGTCTATATTTAAAATGCATCTGCCACCCTTTTCCGACCATGCATCAGTCTATTCAAATCTTCCTGGAGTGCTCGAATGTCCTCGTCAAAATAAATTTCGAGGCCTTTTTGGTTATCGGCAAACTTCCCGATGTGGCTTTTTATGCCCTCATCTATGTCGTTTATGTGATTTGAAAAAGCAGGGGCCCAACACTGACCCTGTGGAACACCGTCGTGACGCTTCCCCACTCTGATTTTCTCCCCATTTAGCAAACTCTTGCTGCCTTTTTGTCAACCTGCTCTATCCAGGAAAAAATTTCTCCCCCTATTCCAGTGCTTTAATTTTCCTCAATAGCTCTGATTGGGCCCCTGTCAAAAGCTTATGAAGTCCATTACAAATTCATATTCATTACCTGATCTCCCTCCTCAATACCTTGTGAAAAAATTTAAAAATTCGTAAGGGCAGGAAGCCCTTTGAAAAAACCATGCTGAGATTTTTGATTAATTTTGCTTTTCAAGGTGGCTACAAAACTGCCTCGGAAATTATTGTTCCAAAAATTTTTCCCAAAAATGGAGGTTAGGCTTATTGGTTATATTCGAAGCAAAGGGACCTTTTCCCCTGTTTGAAAATAGGTTCCATTTCCCTTTTTTCCCATTATCGGGCACCACCCGTTTTAGGAGTTGAAAAGATTACCAAAGGTGTGCTAACTCCTCTTTACTTTCCTTTAGAACCCTTCATAAGTTATCAGGGCCTGGGGATTTGTTGGGTTTTAAATTTATTATTTGCCAAAGGACCATGCATTTGGACCCTAATAGTGCACAGTTTATTATCGTCCTGTTTACAAATTTATCATTACTGGAATATGCGGGTACCCCTCCTGTGTAAAAACTGAGAGGAAGTTTTGTTTAAAAAATTTACACTTTTCCTTACCCTGTCATGGCTGCCCCAGGAACTTTGAGGGGGCCCTATCTTGTCCCTGATCTTACTCTGTATACCTGAAAAACCCTTTTGGGTTAGTCTTCGATTCTTTTGCAACTTTAACCTCATAATCTCTATTTGCTTTTCTAATTTCCCCTTTTTTTTTTCTCCTTAACTAAATTATCGATTTTTTAAATTTCCCCCTTCCTCTTTTGATTTCCCCTATATATGCTTCTTTTACCAATCAGTTTTTTAAATTATTGTTCATCCATTTAGGATCATTTTTGTTTGATCGATTTCCCTATTTGGAACTAATTTGATGAGCAGCTAGAACTATGCCCTGGAAAGAAATCATATCGGCAACCACACCACCTACCGACCCCTAGTAGGTCATCCAGTTCGCCCCCCTAAGAAATTTTTTTCAGTCCTTGAATCACCAAGCGAAAGTCGGGGGAGGGGACTTGATTGCCTTATTGGGGGAAATTTCCTGATATGTTAAAATGAGTGATTTGGTCACTCCCCCCAAGTCATTTTTAACCCTCAAATTTTTTTTTGTTTTTCCTTACTGGCAAGAACAAGTCAGGAGGTTTTTTCCCCCTATTTGGCTCTGTCACAAATGTTTTAAAAAAAACCCTGGATGTATAAAAAGTCCCCGACTCAAAATTTCCCTGTAAAATTGCTCCAGTCAATCGTCTATAGTTGAATCTCCATTGCACAAATTTTCGTTGTAGATCCCTTACGAATTTCGTCCCTGAAGTTTACTGCACTCCCTATCAGATTTGGGGCCCTGTAAATCACACCCAAAATTAGTTTTCTGGGCCCCTCGAGAAGCTGTAACCAAACGATTCAGTGGCTGACGCTTCATTTTACTTGTCTAACACAACAATTTAAATTGTCTCTGAATACATCCTACTCCCCACCCTTTTGTTTACCCTGTCAGTGTGGGAAAAATTTATAGCCCTTTTAGTGACATTCAGAGGGCCTTCTATCTTTCGATTGGGCCAGGTTCTGGTTTTAGCAAAATATCTATGTTTCCTGCACTTGCAATTAAACTTAGTCTTATCTTATTCTAACACCTGCATTAGTATAGTAAACCTTAAGGGAGCTAGTCCCTTGCTGCCCTTGCTGTCCCCCTTTTTTTGCTGACCTGTTTTTTTGTTTTTTTATAAATTCATGCGAATGCCTTTTTTACATTTATGTTTCCAACCCTATTTGCAACCTGCTTGTTTCCCAACACACCCTACCTCATCTTCCACAGTTTAAAATCATAGGGGATTTTTCCAAGGGCCCTTTTCAAACGAGTTTGAAAATGCTACCCCCCGCCCCCGAGAGATGAACCCCCTCCCTTTCATAATACATGTTTGCCATAAAATTTTTCAGTTGTCAATGAAGGGGTTGCAAGTCCTTGCAGTATTTTCTGCCCGCAATTTTTCCCAAATTTCCCTAGGGCAACCATTCTTTCCTACTCCCCTTCTAGGGAAGATGCACATATGATTGGATCCTCCCTTAGTTTAATGAAATTTGCTGACCGTATTATTTTGCAAACTCTTCTCTCCTTTTTTCCCCCCTATCATTTCCAAGCATGAGACGATAAAGGGTTGTCCCCTTACCTGACATGATATTATCCATCTGTTGACAATGTCCCAACACCAGCTCCAGGGGGAACACACTTTCTCTCTCTTCTTATTCCTATTACAAAACACACAAATATTTACCTGGAAATCACCAACCCCAAAAATGCGCTTACCTTCATTGCAGGGGCAGTAGACCCTTACCTTCCTGGCCATAAGACATTCATCCTGGAGAAAGAGAAGCGTTTCCTACCCTTAGATCTGACTCTTAACTTTCCCCTTTCTCGATGGCCCCCCATTTCTGTAACAATCGCCCCTTGTAGCAGGTGCTGGGCTGCACCTCACTGCTGGTAGCCGTTGCTCCACCCCACCTACCCTCCTCACAGTGGAGACAGACTGCACCTCACTGCTAGAAACCTCATTCCCCCCATCCCAACCCCCCTCACACTCTTCCCAGGGCCCCTTGAGGTGGACCTTCACCTCCTAAACTCCTCCCGGAGAAGCAAGACCTCCTCCCTTAACTCTCCAACCCCCGTTTTAAAACCCCGTAAAAAGCAAGCCATGTTTGTAACCGTCCACGTAATCCCCCAAACACCCGGGTCTGTGACCTACGTGACGACTGACCATGAAAACTGAACACAAACTCAAACAAAGAAGAAAGTTAGTGAATCTTTGGACGTAAAAAAAATATTTGCAAATTTTCTTGCCCTCTTAAGTGTTCATGGGATGGAAAAGGGAAAAACTACTATCATGCCCGGGACAAAATCTTCTGGGTTTCAGTTTTTCACCAAAACGATAGTACCTCCCAGGGGGTGGTACCTAGTGGGGGTGGCCTGATACTTTTCGGTTTTGTGAGGCTTCCTTTTTCTTTTAACGAGATAAGGAAAAAATTTAAAACCCCGATACAGGGAAGAGTGGTAAAAAGGAGAGACAAAGAATTCATCAGAAGGATATAATAAAAGCAACATTGTAGTGAATGCAAAAATTCACAACCGCTAAACTCTGATTGCGACTTTTTCTTCCTTATTCAAGACTTGATAATAGTCCGTGACAACGAAAGATTGTCTAATTTTCAGGTACAATTTGAGGTTAATTGTGATCAGCAGAGAGATGTGTTCTGATGGAGAATCACCAGAGCTTTGAGTCACTCACCCATCCAAAGACTTTCCCAAGGGTTTTACGGCGTTGAACCTTCGGAGCCGCCTTCTGCGGCAGGGGTTGGTGCTGGTGAAGAGGGCGCAAGTGAGGGGCACCACAGTGGTGGTGGTGGTTAACTGGTACCATGTCTTCGTCGTCCTCTTGGCGATGAGACGAGCGTCATCCTCATTCACGGCTACCAGGAAGACAGACAAGTTGAATGTGTTGAACTCCTGGAGTAGGAAAGTAGCAGAACGAATTGAGTTACTGTAGAAGGGAGGTAGCAGAAATTGTTGAGCAACCCATCAACACCCAGAGACCCATGTACTCATCCTGAGACTCATGTACTCACACTGAGACCCAAAGACTCGTGTACTCACTCTGAGACCCAGATCGTTGTGTACTCACCCTGAGACCCAGAGAGTCGTGTACTCACCCTGAGACCCAGAGAGTCGTGTACTCACCCTGAGACCCAGAGAGTCGTGTACTCACCCTGAAACCCAGAGACTCGTGTACCCATCATGAGATTCGTGTACTCACCCTGGACCGTGGTCAAAAGCCCACAGCACAACACCAGCACCAGCAATTTCATCCTGTAAGAAAAAGATAAATAACAATAACTACAAGAGAGCTCGCTGGACCTCTGAGCTATCCACACTTTACAGGACTTCAGTACTAAGATTGAATAGCCTAACTTCTGTCTTCACGTGTAGTCATAAGTCGCTAATTTTTAACATATATTTGTCCCCTTAGTAATTAATAAAGTACGTTCCATTCTTCTTGGGAACATTCAGCATGTCAGTGAGAAGGGTAAGCGTTCCACTGTTTTTGTATTACTCTGAATTCTACTAATGAATCCAGATTTAATAAAAAGTTTCCTGTGCAACGTAACTATTGCAATGAAAAGAAAATTCTAAGCCCTTGTGTGGCTTACTTAAACTCATTGAAATGCATGATTTTCTAATCTGTTTGATTCCCAAGAAGAAGAAGAATAATCTACAGCTTCCAGGGCTCGCGATTTCAGTGTTCTCAGTTCGCTGTAAAGCAATAAACTTGTTCTGGTGAACCCATCTAATAATTTTTAAAGGGGTGGATAAGTAAGCCAGCAGAAAGCCTTGGTCAGATAACCAATAGCTCCAGCTGCGGGTCGTCATATGATTAAGACCCACGTCAGGAAACACTTGTCCTATTTCCTGACAAGCGTAACTTAGTATAACTCGGCCTTGATGATGAGCTATTCAATACAAAAACAAGTATCCTGATCTACTAGGATAGAATCGAGGACATAGATGTATATGCAAAGTTAGCTTTTATTTTAACAGCGTTTTCGCTCAGTGTATAACTATATTAAGTTATAAGCTCTATGTAGAGCTTTTTCTAAGTGCAAAGTTTTATATAGTAGTATTGCAAGTGTAGAGCTTTATCATGATCATTACTGCAGGAGGAATTACATCAGCCAGATGGCATACTTTAAGCGGTCCAGGGCATTCTCTGGTCTATTAAGTGTTCATTGTGACTTGATAAAGTTTTACAGAGAGCTCTGCACTTGATGAAACTAGACAGAGTTGTCAACGTTGTCATAATACAAGCATGAGGTGAATATATGTCTTCGTTCCATTCAGTGGGCATCTTGCCCTGGCATTCTGACCAACTGCGACGATTACACGAGGGTGTGCTGCCCGATCTGCCCAGTCCTCCGTACTTAACCACAGCTTAAATACACCAAAAGTTGCACGTCTCTCATTGTAGATACACTGAGATGTGTATGTCTTTCACTGTATATATGGTGCGAGCTTGATCAAAATCCCTGTTTTAGGAATATTTGCCGATAGCAGGAACCGCGTCTCAGTCATAAGGACAACGCTACAGCTTAAACATCACCACACCTCTAGCAGGGAGTAACAGAGATGCTCCTCGTCTCAGTAAGACCATCAGGGCACTGTTTTCTGCCGGAGGGGAAAAAAGTATCTTGTCCAGTGTATCTTCAGTTTAACGTTATATTCAGTCATACCGGAAAAAACTATGGATATTAGGTCTTCGATTTGTTGTGTCTTTGTGGTAGAATTAATTGAAATAAACATTTATTATTATTATTATTATTAGTAGTAGTAGTAGTAGTAGTAGTAGCAGTAGTAGTAGTTGTAGTAGAAGTAGTAGTAGTAGTAGTAGTAGAAGTAGTAGTAGTAGTAGTAGTAGTAGTAGTAGCAGTAGCAGTAGTAGTAGTAGTAGTAGTAGTAGTAGTAGTAGTAGTAGTAGTAGTAGTAGAAGTAGTAGAAGTAGTAGTAGTAGCAGTAGTAGTAGTAGTAGTAGTAGTAGAAGTAGTAGTAGTAGTAGTAGCAGTAGTAGTAGTAGTAGTAGTAGTAGTAGCCTCTATCTTTCTATTAGTCTCTGTGCCATTCGAGTTTTTTATTTTTATTATATTTTGCATTACTTCAGTTTCCCGTAATTTTAAGTCGGTTGAAAACTTTGAGTGGTCGAACATTTTACTTATTAGAAAAATATACGTTTTATTATTTTTCAACCATTGAATTTACAGGCAAACAACTGTAATTCTATTTCAGCTCATTTCAAAGCCCAACCCTTTCTTAGTTATACAACCACCCTGACCAGGGCGCTGACCAGGGAAGTGGAAACTATCGAACTTAAGCTAAATGACTCTTACAGGAACCAGGAGAGGCAGGAGGAGCTTAAAGCTATTAGTGAAATTGAAAGAAATTCAAAATATTTCTTTTCATATGCCAAAAACAAGGCAAATACCACATCTAGTATCGGGCCCTTACTCAGACAGGATGGGACTTACACAGACGACAACAAGGAAATGAGTGAAATATTGAAATCCAGTACGACTCTGTGTTTAGTGAACCACTAATCGGTCTGAGGATCGACGACCCAAATGATTTCTTCATGAATGAGCCTCAAAACTCCATAAATGTATGCCAGATTTCCGACATTACCCTAACTCCGATAGATTTCGAAAAAGCCATTGACAACATGCCTATGCACTCAGCCCCGGGCCCAGACTCGTGGAACTCTGTTTTCATTAAGAACTGCAAGAAACCCCTCTCGCGTGCCCTAAGTACACTATGGAGGAGGAGCTTGGACATGGGTGAAATTCCACAGTCACTTAAAACAACGGATATAGCCCCACTCCATAAAGGTGGCAGCAAAGCATTAGCTAAGAACTATAGCCCAATAGCTCTGACATCCCACATCAAAAAAATCTTTGAAAGATGCTAAGAACAGGATTGAAAATCACCTGGATTCCCAAAATCTGCACAATCCAGGGCAACATGGGTTCAGGGGAGGTCGCTCCTGCCTCTCACAACTACTGGTCACTATGACATGGCCTTGGATGCACTGGAAGAAAATCAGAATGCAGATGTAATATACACAGACTTTGCAAAAGCATTTGACAAATGCGATCATGGCCCTAATAGCCCATAAAATACGTGCTAAAAGGGAAAAACTGGGAAAGTGGGGAGATGGATCTTCAACTTCCTAACAAATCGAACACAAAGAGTAGTGGTCAACAGAGTTAAATCGGGGGGCTGCCATAGTGAAGAGCTCTGTTCCACAAGGCACAGTACTCGCCCCCATCTTTTTTTCCTTATCCCCTATCAGATAAACAGAGATATACACCACAGCACCGTATCATCCTTTGGGGGTGATACTAGGATCTGCATGAGGCTGTCATCTGCTGAGGACGCGGTTAACCTCCAAGAAGATATAAACAAAGTTTCCATGGGCAACGGTAAACAATATGATGTTCAATGAGGACAAATTCCAACTACTCCGTTATGGAAAACTGGAGGAGATAATACTAGAACAGAGTATTCTACTGACTCCGGCCATACAATAGCGGAAAAATAATGTAAGGGACCTGGGAGTAGTAATGTCTGAGGATCTCACTTTCAAGGATCACAACAGTGCCACGATCGCACGTGCAAGAAAATGATAGGATGGATAATGAGAACTTCAAAACGAGAGATGCCAAGCCAATGTGATCCTTTTCAAATCACTTGTTCTCTCTAGGCTGGAATACTGCTGTACATTAACATCTCCATACAAAGCGTGAAATCGCAGATCTAGAGAGTGTACAGAGATCCTTTACTGCACGTATAAGTTCTGTAAAGCCCCTTTAAACTACGGGGAACGCTTGGAAGCACTTGACTTGTACTCGTTGGAACGCAGGAAGGATGAGATTATATCATAATCTACAATTGGAAAATCTTGGAAGGAATGGTCCCAAATCTGCACACAAAAATCACTCCCTACGAAAGTAAAAGACTGGGCAGGCGATGCAAAAAGCCGCCAATAAAAATAGGGGCGCATTGGTACACTAAGAGAAAACACCAAAGTGTCCGGGGCCCAAAACTGTTCAACAGCCTCCCATCAAGCATTAGGGGAATTGCCAATAAACCCCTGGCTGCCTTCAAGAGAGAGCTGGACAGATACCTAAAGTCAGTGCCGGATCAGCCGGGCTGTGGCTCGTACGTCGGACTGCGTGCGGCCAGCAGTAACAGCCTAGTTGATCAGGCCCTGATCCATCGGGAGGCCTGGTCATGGACCGGGCCGCGGGGGCGTTGATCCCCGGAATAACCTCCAGGTAACCTCCCCAAGATGCCACCCACAACAGTCGGCTAGCATCATGGTACATATCTACTGTTGGTGAACATACGAGCGGAGAATAATAATAATATATTCCACCAGGATTTGTCTTTGAGTTCAGTTTCTCCTTAATATATGTAAATGACATTCAAAGGCAGATTAATTCCTTCATGTCGAATTCTATAGACGGTGCTAAACTTGTGAAGAGGACACCCCTACAGGAAGACTACGAAAAAGTGCATGTCTTGGACAAATTGCAAGAATGGTTCGACAGGTCAAGTTCAGTGGTAGGTAGCAAGACAAACTAGCGAATATGGAAGCCGGTGTAGGGAGATCTGAATCAAGGTACGAACAGAAGCAACTCAAAGAGACAAAGAGACAATCCTTGTACTATTAGACATTTCACTAAAACTATCTCATGAAGTTGTATGAACTGGATAACATCAGCAGCATATGCAAGGATTGCGTCTGCTACCACCAGGCTCGTGGCCTGGTGGTAAAAGCTCTCGCTTCGCATGCTGATGTCTGGGTTCGATTCCCGGCCAGGGTTGAAAAATTGGGCGTTTCCTTACACCGGTAGTCCATGTTCACCCATCAATAAAATGGGTACCGGGCTAGTTAGTTGACTGGTGTGGGTCGCATCCTGGGACAAAATTGACCTAATGTGCCCGAAATGCTCTGCATAACAAGCGGCTTTCTAGATAGTAGTATGTTACTGATGTCAGATAGGACTGTATACCTTGTACACGTACCTATAGAAATAAAGATCTTATATTATTATTATTTTTTATTTTTTTTTGTATTAACACATCGGCCGTTTCCCACCAAGGCAGGGTGGCCCGAAAAAGAAAAACTTTCATCATTCACTCCATCACTGTCTTGCCAGAGGCATGCCTACACTACAGTTATAAAACTGGAACATTAACACCCCTCCTTCAGAGTGCCGTCGCTGTACTTCCCATCTCCAGGACTAAAGTCCGGCCTGCCGATTTCCCTGAATCCCTTCATAAATATTACCTTGCTCACACTCCAACAGCACGTCAAGTCCTAAAAACTATTTGTCTCCATTCGCTCCTGTCTAACACACTCACGCATGCTTGCTGGAAGTCCACGCCCCTCGCACACAAAACCTCCTTTACCCCCTCCCTCCAACCTTTCCTAGGCCGACCCCTACCCCGCCTTCCCTCCAATACATATTTATATACTCTCGAAGTCATTCTGTTTTGTTCCATCTTTTCTACATGTCCACACCATCTCAGTAACCCCTCCTCAACCCTCTGGATAATAGTTTTGGTAATCCCATACTTCCTTCTAATCTCCAAACTACGGATTCTCTACATTATATTCACACCACACATTGCCCTCAGACATGACATCTCCACTACCTCCAGCCTTCTCCTTGTTGTAACATTCACAACCCATGCCTCACACCCATACAAGAGCGTTGGTATAACTATATTCTCATACATTCTCCTCTTTGCTTTCATAGATAAAGTTCTTTGTCTCCACTAACTCCTCAGTGCACCACTCACCTTCTTCCCTTCGTCAATTCTATGATTCACCTCATCCTTCATAGACCCATATGCTGACATGTCCACTCCCAAATATCTGAACACATTCACCTCCTCCATACTCTCTACCCCTAATCTGATATTATTATTATTATTATTATTATTATTATTATTATTATTATTATTCACACAATGAGTAACGAAAGGATAATGGAAACCCCATATATGGGTTCACGTTACGAATTAAATACGAATGTCAGTTGAAGGCTGAGTCGATGCCCACAAGTTCAACTCTAAACACCATTAGCCGAGTGCACACCTGAGATCACCACGTCACTACAGTGTACCCGCACGACACCTTCCACCACCTTATATATATATACACACACACACGAACTGAACTGCTCCTGGCCCCTTAATGCACACATTTAGTTACTTTCCTCATGCAGCATCTGCTGTTTCCTGGTCACCACAGTCACTCCTTAAGAGAAGCTCTTCTGTCAGGAAGAAGAGTTCCTTGATGCTGGTGAGGGGCTCTTGATCTAGGGAATTGGACCTATACTCCACTTCCCTGAATTAAACCTGAATACCTTCCACATCCCCCCACAGGCACTGTATAATCCTACGGGTTTAGCGCTTCCCCCTTGATTATAATAATAATAATCTCTGTCAGGGCTCGTGGCTCGGCTGGCACTTAGCTCACATACTGAATGTCCGTGGTTCGTTCCCCGGCATGGATGGGAACGTTGGGCATGTTACCCTATACCTACTGTTCCTGTTCACCTAGCAATAAGTAGATAGCAGACCATTGTGGGTCGCATCCTGAGGAGGGAGTGATTGTATACCTTAAGTAGGACTGGGCTTCGACATGAGGTGAGGTAGGATAGCAGCTCTTAGGCAGTAAGATTGATTTATGCAAAAAAAAAGTACCTTCAACACCACTTAACTATTGTTACTGTTTCTACTAATTCTGCTGCTGCTTTTACTACTGTTGATGCTACTACCGCTATTACTATTAATACTGCTAATACTACTGCTATTACCATTAATACTGCTACTACTACTACTGCAGCTGATTCTTCCCTTAACGTGGCTTGGCTGTTTTTCTTCACAAAATGTCCAGCTAGTGTCACCATACAACACAGTCTCACAATGTAAACAAGATAAGGTTCGTCTCGCATTATTTTTTGTACTTGAGGTAATAAGAATCATAAAACATTTTAAATTTATTTTCGAGTATTTACATAGCTGACCCCTTAACATAAACAGCATGCAACAAACACGACAAACAAAAACTGCTTGTCAGGCTAGGTAGGTAGGTAAGTTTTAAGTCTCATACGTTATTTGAATTTTTTACAATGTTTTTTTATATATTATGTATAACGCAATAATTTCAAACAGAAGTTCGTAGATAAATGTACGTTTCCTGAAGAAGAAGAAGAAGTTCGCAAAGAATTACATAAATATTTCGAGTAGAATTTTATTAGACAACATTTAGTTCAAGTGACCGTTTTTTAAGTCTTTCTAACAACAAAATCTCCTTTCAGCCAAACGTTGTCTAATATATTATCCTACTTTTCAGTCATTTTGCTGTCCAAGCTTTGTGAGGTTCATGCAGGTCACTGCCGGGATAATCTGTTCTTGTTTTCTCTGCTTCCATGTTTAGCCACAGCCTGGTGGAAGTACAGCGCCACTGACGGTGCAGAAGAAGGAGAGGGAGAAGGTGGTGGACCTGTTGGTGGAGGTGGAGGTGACGGTGTAAGTGGAGGAGACGGTGGTCCAGATGGTGAGGGCGATCCTGGGTTGACGCTCGTTCTTCACTGTTTCCTCACCCAGTGAACCAGACACCTCAGGCCGCCTGGGAAGAAATGGACAGTCTCTAGTTTTTTATCTAAAATTAATTTTGGAATTTCATGCGCCGTATAACTCCTACAAGTATAGTGTTTCCCCACGAATATAATAATAATAATGGTTGTATAGGGTATGGTGATTTCGATAAGATACGGAATAATACTCTTAAAAGAGGTTTTCTATTGATGTCATAATTTTAAGTATACATTAAGTCGATTTCTCACATACGATTATACGCAGATTTCTCAATATGTTATATATGTTAGGCTAGGCGTGTTAGATGCGTATAACAATTTAACTGGTTATAACATGAGGCCAGTAACTGCAGTAATACATAAAGGTAATAGGAACTTTGAGTCTCGAACTTTGAAGGGAGACACACTCAGATTACGTTACAATAGAGAATAGACTGACAAATAATTACGTTTTAATTCCAGTGCCACAGTCACACATTTGATGTTCTTAGCCATAATGACCATAATGTTGGGGTTTATAGGACTATGTCCGAAACGACAGAACCGATATTTGTTCAGTAAAGTGTGCCTTTATCACACTTGTCGGCACCAATTGTCAAACACGCGCTAAACTATTTTTTTCCTGACGAATAAACTAAGAAAGAAGCACGTCACTCACGTGTCATCACTGAGAACACTGTCGTCGAGTTTTGTGTAGCGGCGGTAGCGGCGTCGCTGGCACACAGCACCATTGGTCTTAAAGGCGCAGGTGAAGGGTGTTGTAGTGGTGGTTGTGGTGAGGATGATGGCTGTCTTGGTGGAATATGCTGCAACAATCAACCTTGCGTCCTCATCATCGCGACCTCCAATGATAAAATAAAAAGTAAAGAACTTGTTTACCTGGAGTTTACCTGGAGAGAGTTCCGGGGGTCAACGCCCCCGCGGCCCGGTCTGTGACCAGGCTGCATAAAATGTTTAATTAATTAATTCATGGATCAAACCAGATTATCTCCCTGTGGGTTAAAGTTACCCCCGTGAATGACAATAAATTAATGGTAATAGCGCGGAAGAGAGATGCGTGAGGTAATCTGGTCATGTAGTAAGTAGTACAGAGATGACTTACCTTGTGCCACAGAGACGAGGGCGAGACAGACAACCAGACCCAGCCACTTCATCCTGCAGTAAAGGACAATACCAAAATAAAATAAGTGGATAATTATTCTGTTTAACTTATATATGATGGTAATTATGGCATGCAAGGAACACTATGACTCTTAAGGATAACTCTAATAATAATAATAATAATAATAATAATAATAACTAGATGTGTTCCGGTGGCTGCCTGATCGGAGAAAGGTACCATATAACCAGCCTCCTCTATCTCAGTGCACACAAAAAGAACAGTACAGAGTGCAACATAAGTTTCTAACAGTTAAATAGCAGCGTTGAAGATGTGAAGCCAATGAGAAAAAAACATTCTCCACTTACTGCACAGAAAAAAATTTGTTTAAACAAATTGGAAAATTATTTAAATCATTATTTAAATAACCAAAAATCAGTACCAAGCTTCCTGTGAGCAAAAACACACCGGCACTAAAAGTTTGAAGCCATCCCGAACACGAATTATCTAGTTATCACACAGAATCAAACAAATCTAAGCTGTCAAATTTTCACCTACGCAGTCTAAATAAAAAAAAAATAATTTAGAAGAGATATACTCAAAGTTATTGTATGAAAAATACAGTATCAACCCCAGCCTTCTTTTAAGCAGAATACACCAATGTTGAAAGTGTGAAGCCGATCAGAAGAGGCTTTCTCAGGCTGTCACACGGAAACCCAAATCGTGAAGTCAGTATAAAATTTACCAGAGGGCGCCTGCAAATGCCAAAAGTTGCATGAATCTTTGCTTAGTCACGGTACACCGGCACTGAAAATTTAAAAACGATCAGATCAGGTGTTCTTGAACTGTGAACGAAAACCTTGAAGGAAGACGAAAAGAAAGTAAGGAACAAGTGTTGGCTAACACCCGGGTACCTACTAACTGCTAGGTGGACAGAGGCGACAGGAGTAAGGAAGCATGCCGGGAGCTAACGCGGATCCTTCAGATGTGAGCCTTCCTTTTACAGATTCCCATAGCATAGTGGAACTCATCACATCTCACAAGAACACACACACAGGACTGTCTCCTACCTTACGACTCCTTCAGCGACTGTTACCAAACCCACTTTTTTCTCTGTCTGGTTACAACGTAGTGTGCCAGACAAACCGAGATCCTCAAACTGTGAGGAACGGCCTCAGGACCCTCTCACCCCTATCTCAAGAGTACTGAATTATTATTTTTGGCCATCAGTTTGCATGAATTCAAGACTTTCCCTCTCACTCCAGTGCCCCTCAAAGAAGGTTCCTTGATGCTGGTGAGGGGCTCTTGATCTGGGGAATTGGATCTGTGCTCCAGTTCCCTGAATTAAACCTGAATGCCTTCCACATTCCTCCACAGGCGCTGTATAATCCTACGGGTTTTGCACTTCCCTCTTGATTATAATAATAATAACAATCTCACTCCAGTGATGGCTCAGTTGGTACGATAACTATGAGGCTTTGAATACATTTGATTTAATTTAATTTTATCAGTTGCCCAGAAAGAGGTATGACTTTACCAAAGTAAATATCTTGTGCATGCCGAGAAGTGTCTCTTATAATACAGTGTTTGATGAAGCGCCAAACCCATGTGTATCATTCAGGGCATGGAGGGAAGGCTCAGTCCTCAGTCCTTTAATCGCTGCACGATCTTTGATCACTCAGGCTGAAGACTACAACACGTGCAATATTTTCGTATTTTTACTGCCGAAACGTTTCGCTTGCACAACAGGCTTTTTCAGTCGAATACAAGCGAATATAAAACTGGAAACAGTTGAAGCAGTTCTGACGTGACCAGTCGGTCATATCAGCCTTGGTAGCAGCTGAAGTCTCAGCAGTATAGATACCCAAGTGTAGCACATGTATCTTATTCAACAATTTGTCGGTATTTTATAGCATTAATAATAGATACGAGTCAGTGTTGGTGATCTTTGATCGTCTGATACACTCAACAGTGTACCTGGTAGGCACTATTTAAATTACATTATATTAACCTGAGTATATCCTTGCGGTATTGAACTGTCTCTCGGGTGACACCCATGTTATATACCTCTCTGGTATACTAGCAGGAATATAGCAAGTATTATATCTTTTGAGGGAGGGAGGAACGTCGTCATACTTCCTCGTTGATCCAGTCTTCAGGAAAAAAAAAAAAGATTTTTTTTTTAAATTCTGAAATAATTTTTCCCAGCATGGTGAAGGCGTTCTTTGTATTCTATTTACTAACGGCGAACATTTTATGCCACATTTCACCCTTTGCTGGAACAATTATTCATGAAAGATTATTTTTTATGTAAGATATTTCAGTGATCTGGTGGTGAATGGAAAAGAAATTATTCCCTTAATTATCCGGATAGATGGGAAGTGTTGAGGAGGAAAGTTGCGAGAGCATCACCATTCATCTCAAGTGACTGACGGCAGTGTGTGCTGACCCAGCCACCACCCACACAACACACTTCATCACGACTTTCTGCAAGATGGTTTACCTCTTTTTATTTTGCCTCTGTATACTGCCTGCTAACAAGGCTTGTCGAACTGTACATAAGTGTCTTTTTCCACACACACACACACACACACACACACACGACATAACACTCCGAAGAGTTTCTGTTTGCAGATGATGAGAAGAATCCAATCGGACAAGGACCAGGCAGAACTACAAAGGGATCTGGACAGGCTGGAGGCCTGGTCCAGCATCTGACTCCTGGAGTTCAACCTCACCAAGTGCAGTCATGAAGGGGAAGGGCAAAGAAGACCGCAGACGGAGTACAGTCTAGGGGGCCAGAGACTACAAACATCACTCAAGGAAAAAGATCTTGGGGTGAGTATAAAACCAGGCACATCTCCTGAAGCGCACATCAACCGAATAACTGCTGCAGCATATGGGCGCCTAGCAAACCTCAGAACAGCATTCCGACATCTTAATAAGGAATCGTTCAGGACCCTGTACACCGTGTACGTTAGGCCCATATTGGAGTATGCGGCACCAGTTTGGAACCCGCACCGGGTCAAACACGTTAAGAAATTATAGAAAGTGCGAAGGTTTGCGACAAGGTTAGTTCCAGAGCTAAGGCAAATGTCCTACTAAGGTTAACGGAAATCGGCCTGACGACACAGAGGATAGGAGGGTTAAGGGAGACATGATAACGACATACAAAATACTGCGTGGACTAGACAAGGTGGACAGAGACAAGATGTTCCAAAGAGAGGACACAGAAAAGAGGGGTCACTCTTGGAAGTTGAAGACGCAGATGAGTCACAGGGATGTTAGGAAGTATTTCTTCAGTCATAGAGTGGTCGGGAAGTGGAATATGTGGCGAGTGATGTAGCGGAGGCAGGAACCATACATAGCTTTAAGACGAGGTATGATAAAGCTCAGGGAGCAGGGAGAGAGAGGACCTAGTAGCGTTCAGTGAAGAGGCGGGGCCAGGAGCTGAGTCTCGACCCCTGCAACCACAATTAGGTGAGCACAATTAGTTGAGTACACACACGTGGTAATGCTTTATTTACAGTGAGCAAAGTCAGGGTATTTTTCCAGAATGGTTGTAATATACCACTGTGGATAAAATACTTCGACATATCTTGAACGTTTCTGAGTGAGTTATCTCTGAATTCATTAATTTTATCACTCTAGTGCATAATGACGCAGGGTGTGACGCACTCCAGTACATAATGACGCAGGGTGTGACGCACTCCAGTACATAATGACGCAGGGTGTGACAATAGTCCACCTGGCAAAGTTTATATTTCGTTTGGTTTACATCTGGTGGTGGTGATTTAACCTGCCAAGTATCCTTGGGAGGTTAAATCATCTCCCAAGTATCTTTATGAGGTTTAATCATCACCACAAGATGTTAAATCACCTCCAAAGTATCTTTGGCAGGTTAAATCACCACCACCAGATGTAGACCAAACGAGATATAAACTTTGCCAGATGGACTATTGTCACACCCTGCGTCATTATGTACTGGAGTGCGTCACACCCTGCGTCATTATGTACTGGAGTGCGTCACACCCTGCGTCATTATGTACTGGAGTGCGTCACACCCTGCGTCATTATGTACTGGAGTACGATAAAATTAAAGAATTCAGAGATAACTCACTCAGAAATCTTCAAAAATGTCGAAGTATTATATCCACAGTGGTATATTACAGACCATTCTGGAGAAATACCCTGACTTTGCTCACTGTAAATAAAGCATTACCACGTACTCACCTATTTGTGGTTGCAGGGCTCGAGTCTTAGCTCCTGGCCCCGCCTCTTCACTGGTTGCTACGTGTATGTGCGTGTGTGTGTGTGTGAGTGTGAGTGTGTGTGTGTGTGTGAGTGTGTGTGTGTGTGTGTGTGTGTGTGTGTGTGTGTGTGTGTGTGTGTGTGTGTGTGTGTGTGTGTGTGTTGTGTGTGTGTGTGTGTGTGTTTGTGTGTGTGTGTGTGTGTGTGTTAGTTAGTAGTTACCATTTTGTCCTAGGCACATGTCGATTAGACACTAGGCTTGTTGTATATGAGTGTGCGTGTGTGTGTGGTGTGTCTGTGTTAGTTACCATATTGTGTGGTGTGTGTGTGCGGTGTGTGCATGTGCGTTGTGTGCATTGTTGTGTGTTGTGTGCGTGCATGTGTGTGTGTATGTGTGTGTGTTTGTTGTGTTTTCTGTGTGTGTGTGTGTTGTGTGTGTGTGAGTTGTTGTTTGTGTATTGTGTGTGTGTGTGTGTGTCTGTGGTGTGTGATTGTGTTGTGTGTGTGTGGTGATGTGTGTGTGTGTGTTTGGTATGTTTGGGTGTAGTGTGTGTGTGTGTTGTGTTGAGTTCGTGTATGTTAGTGAGTGTGTGTATCCTAGTTTCACCTATTTGTGGTGCAGGGGTCATTTAGCTCTGGTCGCTGCTTACTGATTGCTTTGGTTTTCTGTGTCATGAGTGTTTTATTTACCTCGTTAGTTGTTGGTTCCGCTCCTACTTATTTTAGGTATTGGTTGTTATTATGACTGAAGACATATTTATCCCTTTGTGGTTCATTGAGTCTTCAGACTCCATTGTGCCCCTCT